CTGGGTAGGAAATAAATCCTTACACCAAACCTGTCACACCACAAAGTGTAATTTCCAATTCATTACTATTAAGTAAAAAATTATTAATAAAACCTTATCTGGGGGCCGGCCGGGGTCCTCAGCTTGAGCCACGTCCAGCTTACACACGTGCCGCATGCGGCTCAATTTTCCCTTCTGAGTGGGCTGAGTGCACTGATCGCAATGAGCGGTCATGCAGCCTGCCTGGCACTAGGAGTGTGGCTTGCATCACGAGCGTGCTCTTAAAGGAGTAGTGGGAGCCAAAAGTAGATTCAGGCTTCCATTGGCCCATGTCATTCTGACGCCCCCATACACGCACGTTTTGGGGACGTGGGCATATCAAATGTTAGTTAAGGATATTTAAACGTCCCTAGCCCTATCCACTTTAATACATTATTTGCTAGTCTTGTCCCTTGCTATCATGAACTCTGCGTGTTGTGGTATTACACCGTGACATAAATATATTTGTGTGCATCCACTTTCAGTTGCCATATTTTGGGTTCAAAATGTTAATAAATGTTTACCTAATTTTAAATTTTGTTGATATTAATTAGAGTAATAAACATGTTTATAAGAAGCAGAATACACAGCATTTCTAGAACAAGCAGAGTCTTAGAACACTGCATGTCTAGAATAATAGGGGGCCGGGACAGATTAAGAGCCCATTGGGCCTGGTGCTGACCAATTTGAAGGGGCCTAATTACAGAATCTTATTGGCAGAATATACTAAAACATTCATACAGTCATACCTCCCAAGTGTTATGTATCTGGTGGCGTCTTTCTAAAGACTAGCGGTCACTGGTACACTCCTCTCCTAACCTTGTTACTAGAAGGCAGAAACTCCTGTTATACAGTCTGGGACAGAGAAAAGGTATATGTAGTGACTGTAGAAGAGAGGGAACATTCCACAGTGTTAAAGAGACTGAAGCAGCAAGAGTATTTGTGTGCAATGTCAGCTTTACCTTAACTAATGTCATTGTCAGCCAGTCCACACCAGTTTTGTTCCCCCACATCCCTCTTAAGTTTCCATACTTAAGCAAGAGCATGTGAAGAGTAGTAAAAAAAAATATATATATTTTTTAAATAAATTGGTCTATTCCATGGGCATAGGCCTGCAGCTGCAGCTCCATGAGCCCCCTATGCTAATCTGGCCCTGATAGGGGTGATATACTACATACCTAAAATAAACAAGTCTTACAGCATACCTAAAGAAGAGCAAAATATTTCTAGACGTATAATAAAAAATAGCCTGTTTTGGTTTTAATTTTTAAAGTTATAAACTCTCTTGTAGTTAGCGTGTTCCTGTTCTTGATTGTTTTTCTCTGTTGTCTATTTTACAGGCAGACAATCTCTGAAGAGCGCTGGTTTGAGGACGGCTGGGAACCTGACAACCTTGAGACCGGTCAAAATGCTAACCTTGGATTAAGTGGTAGCTTAGAGGGTAAGAGATCTGCTAAACCCATCGACTAAACAAGTAGCTTTACATTCAGTGGACACAGTAAGAAGCTTTGAAAAAACTCTTCAAATCAACTATGGTCACAGCTTGACTATTTCAGCTTAAATGTTGAAATTTACATTCTTTCTTAATATAAAGAACACCATATGGTTTCTAAAACTTTTTATCTGCAAAGGCTGAACAAATAACACAAATTTTGTGAACCCAGACTGATCAATGAAGTATGTAACACCCAAAGTGAGCTCTGCATATAGCCCTTTAAATGAATCGAAAATGGAGCAGTTGAGCAGTTGTGCTCAGCCATGATCATTCTAGGACTTGAAGATGTTCAAGGCATATCCCCAAGGTTTGAACTGACCCTGACAGGGTCTCTTACCTTGGCCCCACGCCAATTGTGTTAAATGGTGGACATCGTCAGCTCCCTAGCTCTAATCTCGGTATAATGCCTTATATTCTGCATTACAACGATTGCCCTGTATAGCTGAAAACAGCCTGTAGAAGGCAGCAAAATACAGCTCATCAGTAATGTCATGCTTCGTGTGTGGGTAGGGTTAGGATAGGGTTACTTGAAGGCTTGGTGTTTGTGTTTGATTAGTGTTAAGTAAGGGTTAATGCTGGGTTAGTGTTAGTGTAGGATTAAGTTTAGAGGTAAGGTTAGGGAAGGTATGTGGTTAGAGTTAATGTAAGCAAAGGATTCCAGGAAGGGTTGGTCGAGAGTTTTGAGGGGCTGAAAAAGGGTAAGGCTTAACTACCTAAAATTAAATTAGATCCTAGACATTTGTGGCTTTTAACAATCATGATTGATTTTTTCTTTTGCTGCACTGGATGTATAAAAATTATTGTAAGCAAAATAAGAAGAAATGCATATTCCTTTTTTTTAAATTTTTCTTCATACCTCTTATTGTGTTGGGAATGCATATGGGATATTAAAAGAAAGCCCTTGCTGACCAGTAAAAACAATATATTATATGTTTGGGGCACTTAAGGGCAGAGGCGTCTCTCTAATTAGGCGATTTAGACGGCTGCCTAAGGCCTTGCGCTGATGGGGGCCTCGCAGCCGCCGAAATGCCATAGGGCAAACTACCATGTCGGATCCTCGGTCAGAGACTGAGGACCCAACACAGGAGGGGGCCCGGCGGCTTGCCCATAAATCCACCGGGTGCGAGGCCCCTCCAGTCAGTCTTCCCAGGAGAGAGTCAGCCTTCAGTCTGCAGCTCCGCTGGGAGTGAGCTGCAGACTTTAGTGTCTTTCTCTGACTGGAGATCGCAAGATTTACTACATGGTCTGCAGCTCACTCCCAGAGGAGCTGCAGACCAGACAGCCAGATCGCCGGGGAGAGAAGGTGCCCACTGGACCACCAGGGGAATCCACGGGACCACCAGGGAAGGAATTTATGAACCCCACCCACCACCCTGTCACAACCCCACCAACCTGCCACCGTCCCCCCTATCCTGTAACAACCCACCTTACTGGATGTGGGATGACAGCCCCCACACCCTGTCATTCCACAGCCACACACCCTCTCACAGCCCCCCCACACACACACACACCCTGTCACCCCCACATGCACTCATTGTCACCCCATAAAAATACACTATCACAATTCCCAAACTCTTTCAGCCTCCACACACTGTATCCCCCTTCATCAAGCCACACTCACATTAAACCCTCCTAATCCTGTCACTCTCGTCCCTCTAACCATACCAAACTTACCTGTCCTTGCTTTACCACAATTACCCTATCACATTAATCCCCCTTAATCTTGTCACACTCACCTCCCCTCATTCTGTTACACTGCCTCCTCCAAACATGGCACATTCACCCCATGCCTGTGATACACCCCTAACTATGCCATACGCAGCCTGTCACATTAACTTCCTCCAAACCTGTCACACTTACGTCCCCATGCCCTGTCACACTCACCCCCCAACCTTGCCTCATTTACCCCTGTACTCACCTTGTCACAGTCACAAACTAAAGACATTCATCATACACACATGCACAAAGGTCACAGACAGCCCCCATAAACACCACACACCGCAAGCATCTATCCCATGCACATAAGGTCCCAGACACATACTCATAAAGACATACATTCACACACAAGGATACTCTCAGACACGCACTTTTATTCACATACACAGGTAGACAATGCCAGACAGACTCAGAAATACACACACTGGCAGTAATGTATACACAACTGCAAGGCAATGTAATCATACCACGCAGTCATTTATAAATGATTAGCATAATTGCTAATTAAATTTGTTTATTGCAAATTAATTTAGTTTGCAAATTATGCCATAAATACAGCCAGAGAGCTCACAACGCAGCGGCACAGGGAGCCGCAACACTGCAAGCCTCTGAACAAGGAATACAGAGACTAGCTCTCTGTATCCAGCGCTGCAAGCTTGTCCTTCAATACAACTACAGCACCTTATACACACATTGCAACCAAACATTTCGGGACCTCATGTTTGAGTTTCGCCTAAGGCCTCACAAAGTCTAGAGCCGCCAATGCTTAAGAGAAACCCTTAAATTATAGTTGAACAAACACATTGTATGTTTTGTTTTGGTTCTGAGCTTGAAAAATTGTCTCCATCCTTAAGAGGTTGACAACCACATTATTATTCTTTCTTCCTTTTTTTTTCTGTGTCTGTAACAGGGTCTCAAAACTCAAAATCTGCAAAAGAAAACTTTAAACCGACCCTGGAAAAAGTGGACACAACAGTTAAGGTAAGCTATTAATAATAGGATGTAAACAATTGTGCATGATCAAACTGGTGGAAAATGGTGAACATTCTGATTCACTTCAGTAATTTGATAGTTTGTTTTACTAAGGAAGAGGAAACCATAAGATAATTCCAGCCTGAATGCAATCTGCAGTTATCATTTATGATTACATATTTTGTTAGCTCTATAGTAACTCATACTTCCAGAAATTATGTATTTTCCCTACATTGAAACATACTGTAGGTTTAGACCTGATGCAAACACCTTTGATATGCTCATTTCTTCTTCTATACCTGTTGATTGATGGATTTTTGATGCAAGATGGACTAAATATTTTAGATTTTTTTAATTTATTTTTTTACAACCTACTTAACACCTATTTTACTCGACCTGCAATGTCCCTCTGTTTTGATCTCTTACAAACTAAAAGACTGACGGGAAGTAAAATGCAGAGAAGAACACTAGGAATAGAGGAATAGTTTGGATGTTAGAGGCATCCTTTGCTGGGTTGAAAAGTTTATAATATGTAGGCTTAGTAGGCTGCATTCACTGACCAAGACCATGATGGTAGTCTATGGGGACAGCAAAATAAAAGGCTAAAATGTAGCGAGGTGAGATGGATCTTGGGCAAAGAAATGTCCTGATTGAATGTTATGATGTTTTAATAATGTTAATGTTAACTTTGTTCCCCCGTAGATTTCTACTCAAAGACCCACGGTGATTACTCACTTTGATTAGGGTTATGTCAATTGAAGATGGCTCTTCTAGTAACAGCAACTACCCCAGGAGAAACACCTAACATTGACAAGCTTTATGGACTAAATTAAAATCAACTTCACTCCAAGATACTTTGAAAGGTTATTGGGCTTGAAGAAAATACCAATCATTTTAAAGACACATAGGATAGAGTATTTCAGACAATTTATACTGAAAATCAACAAGCATCATATGTTTTAGATTAATACTGCCATATATGTAAAATAATGTATTGTTTGTCCAATCAAAATTATGATGATGAATATCATCATTGTCATTAGGATTATATAGCAAAGCCAACATACTCTAAAGACTAATGTAGAACATTCCATCCAGTGAGCAAGCTGGTTCGTGCCTGAATTACAAGTAATATGTCTGGGTTCTAAATCGTTTTGAGTAGATCTGGATATTGTCATGAAACTGTCCCTACTCACTTTTTATATCAGTTAAAAACCAGACCACACAGTTATATACTATGACATTTAAATATTATAATAAATAATATTCTAGTGATTGAAAAAACAACTCCACTCTGGAAATTGAAACAGATTTAGGTATACTGAAAAAGAAATCAGGCATTGTTCACATTTAATCATGTTTCTATATGAGGAAATGGCTGTCATATCTAGAGCTGTGATAATAAAGAATAAAATAAGTTAATTCAAAGCCAGAAAATCTGAAAATATTGACAAAGTTCCACTGCATTCTGTATTGATTTACATAGTCTGGGAATGACAGCAAATAGTTCCTTAATAGAATAACAACGTTTTAAGGAACAAAAATATAATCATAACAAGTGCATCTAAAAAGGTGCCTTGAACCAACGCATTTGACAGGCAGCATATACTTATACTTAATAATTAAAACAATCTTTGAATGTATTAACTTACCATATGATAAAGTTTGATCATATAATGTTCTCCGATGTTGATCTGAAATGATGTTTGGCTGACTATGTAATAGTGCCTTATTCTTGTTAATTGCAGTCAGTGATGTAGGCAGTAAACCACTAAATTAAACTCTAATTATTTGGAATCCAAAGCAGAAAAAAAACAGTTTTGTGTGTCAACTCTTTGTTACATTACACATATCATTTAAAATCCCCTTTACTCTAGGTTATTAATCATAAATATAACATTATTTGTGTACTGTACTTTTTCAGGGCAATATTTATATTATTATTTTATTACATGAACTGTTATTTAAGACTTGTGACATGTATGTGCACTTTGTTGCAGTATTGCATATTGTCAGTTGTTCTAACTTACTTTTATAGAAAGGAATTGTGTTTTACAAAAACAACTTTCTATGCATGCAATAAAATAAACTCTAAGCTGTTAGAATAATCACTCTCACTGACACTTACAACATTTCAAACATGCCACTCAGAGATCAGATCAGGGTAAAATAACTGTGATACAATACAATTTGCAGTTACTATTAACCAGCCATGGGAGTGAAAAATATAAAAACAAAATAAAATATTTATATATAAATATATAATTAAAAATAATTTTATTTTTATACGCAAGTAATACATTTGTTGGCAGAGGCTTAAAAATGTTTTTGTATTTATATTTTTTATTTAGCTATTGAGTTTCTTGTGCTTTTTTAATATAAAATGCCTATCGTGGTAGAGACATGGAAATACCTCAATCAGAACCATATTTTTCCCTTCTAAGCCCTCCTATCACAAAGATTTTCTCTCTCACAGAACATGTATCAGATATCTAGAACTCTGTTTAGCATTCTGTTATCAGATCAAAATGTGTCTGCCTCTCGATGACGCAACCAGGCTCCAAACATCTCAAAATTTTCAGATTACTCTCCCAAAAGATCAAGTTTTTTCTATGACAAAATCCAAGCCTTTACTATAATATTAAGTGATTTAACTTGGTTTTACAAGATAATGATTATTCTAAAATTCAAACATCCTGATCACAGAATTCTCTATCTCTGGATATCCTCATCAGTTACCTAAAACATCACCATTTAGAAAAATGCCATGTAAGGAGGTATCAATGGCACTGCATACATGCACCTTGAAGAAGACTTATTTGTCAAAAACTTGCACTTATTTATTTTAATGTTTTTTTGATCGATAATAAAGCATTATTTGCAAAAAAAAGGCTAACTTTGTATTTCGTGGGTTAGCAGGAATGTTACTAATAACATTAGCTAATGGTACCATGGTTTTTCAAGTTTCTATGCCCAAGAAGGACTTCCAACTTGAGATATGCATGTGATAAAGCATCACCTTGTCCATAAATAGGAAATAAACCATAAAATACCATACAATGTAAAAAAAAACTATTTCAAAATAAAAACAATTACACTGCCTGAACACAGGCCCTTGGTGGATGCCTAAACACAGGGGTAATCTGGCACTGGATGTGTGCTCCAGATGAATGCGGCAACTGCAGTCCATTTTTTTGTTTAACAAATGCTTTGTAATACTTCATCAGTGAGACAATAAATATGAACTATAGCTTTGCTTGTTGTTAGAGACTTAAGCCTCGATTTAATAGGCTTTCCAAATGACTCAATATTGTTAGAAAACATTCCATATCATTGATCTACAGAAGTCACCGTTAAAGTCTGTGAGAAGTATTGTAGATAAATCATTTGAAAAATAAATCTAACAGTATTGTGTCATTTAGAAAGCCTATTTAATTGTATTTTGCTAGCAATTCAGTAATGCCACTAACACATTCCGTAAGTAGATTGTGCACAAAGGTATGAAGAAAAATAAGAAATGGCAAATCTGTCAGTGTCAGAATACCTTCCTCCCAAGCATCAAAGGAAGTGTAGTTCATAGTGTTGCCTAGTAAATTAGCCATCAAATGTGCTAATACACAACCACCACCAGATATTTGTGAACTACTTTACACAACCATCAGGCAACCTTTAGAATATCTGAGCATCATGGCAGGTGCAGTTCACAATAATGCCAAGGTAATTAACCTTCAAAACACCAGCAGATATTTATTAACTACATTTTGGATGAAGTTCAGCTAGTGAAAAATCTAGATTAACTGATGCATCATGAGGATTTTAGATTGTGCACTAACACCTGAGGACATTATATCTAAGTAACATGGATAAGTCCACCATAGCAGGTGTTTTGACCGCATTCGCGGATGATGTTAAGGCAGCCTGACTGAGTATCATGGGAAACAAGCACAGAGATCTGTGTAGTCTAAGCTGTGCTCAGCCTTTATATTGCCTTCCTCTACTTCTTCACTTCACAGTGCCATCTCATTACTCCTTCCTTCTCATGTGGTATTTTGATTTAAACTATGCCCAGGGTGACCAAATCCACCATGTTTTCTGGGACACATATCACGTATACATATTGATGGGGAGCACGTGAAAAGGGTAGCCCTGTAATATGTAGAATTCAGAAGACGGTGTATTAGATTAAGGAAATTAGACAATTATAATTAGGCAAGGAAGAATCTGGCAATTAAGCAATAAGGCATTGGGCAATAATCCAGAATATGCATTATACACATGGGAGGGCAACGTCATATGTTTTCATAAATATGAGAAACTTAAATGTGTCCCTATAAACATGATGGATCTGGTCACCCTGACTATGCCACCTCCACGTTTCTTCCTCCAATGTTTTCTCTCGTATATCTCTCACACGCTGTCTCTCTTTATGCTGTCTTGCCCATGCTGTATCTCTTCATGCTCTCATATATCTCACATGCTGTCTCTCTTTTTGTCTCAAGCATGCTTTATGTCTTCATGCACCCTCTCTCTGTGCTCTCTCTCTTCATGCACCCTCTCGCTATGCTCTCTCTCTTCATGCTGTCTCTCTTTTTGTCTAGCCCATGCTCTCTCTCTTCATGCTGTCTAGCCCATGCTGCCTACCTTCATGCTGTCTCTGTGCTTCTTGCTCTCTTTCATCATGCATTCTCTTCCCATGTCTGTCATTGCAGTTCCTCTCCAAGCCACCCACCATGCCATCTCTTCTTTCTTTCTCTTGCTCTTTATTCATTTTGATTCTCTACTTTCCATCTTTTTTAACATTATGTATGTTGCTATAGTATTCATTTTTAATATCTAGTTGCCTATACTCATGCAGTATTTTTGTGCACTTCTTTGAGAGCCTCATAGTTTGTTTCGGGATAAATTATATGTTGACTTGTTTGCCCGAGTTCAAATTGAACAGTAATGCCACAAACCAAAACAGAGATGGTACCTGGGACGGATCTCGGAAGTGATGTCCGACACATATACAAGATGGATGTAAAGATGCAGCAACGGAACCAGAAATGATGGACAAGCAAGTGAAGGTGTGGGAACACGAGTGAAAAATTTAGAAAAATGCCATATAAGGAGGTATCAATGGCACTGCATACATGCACCTTGAAGAAGACTTATTTGTAAAAAATGTGCACTTATTTATTTTAGTGTTTTATTTATCGATAATAAAGCATTATTTGCAAAAGAAAAAAGGTAACTTTGTATTTTGTGGTTTAGCAGGCATGTCACTAATAACATTAGCTAATGGTACCATGGTTTTTCAAGTTTCTATGCCCAAGAAGAACTTCCAACTTGAGTTATGCAGGTGATAAAACATCACCTTGTCCATAAATATGAAATAAACCATAAAATACCATACAATGTAAAAAAAAAAAAAAATCAAAATAAAAACATTTCACTGGGTCTCTGCATGAACATGGGCCCTTGGTGGATGCCTAAATACAGGGGAAATCTGGCTCTGGATGTGTGCTCCAGATGAATGAGGCTACTGCAGTCCATTTTTGTTTAACAAATGCTTTGTAATACTTCATCAGTGAGACAATAAATATGAGCCTATTTCAAACAATGAATTAGACAGACATACGTGCAGGAAATTGTATATTATACACTATAACATCAATCTTATTTTAGTCTAAAATTGGCAATATTTTGTGTAATCATTGCCAAATAATTGCCAAAAGTTACTATCTTTAAATCTGATGCAAGTTTTATTATTCAAAGTGGGTTCTGCTAAAACATTCAAACCAGTAACTAGTATAGAATTTGTGTGTATTTGCAAATAGTTACTGGTATGAAAAGGTTTTATAATTGATCCATCTTCTGCCATCTAGTGGACTTTAATTGTACTGAAAATTGCCCAGCAGGAAACTGACCAGTTAGAATTGTCTCAGTGCTGTTAAATTAAAGGGACTGTCTATTCACTATAAACAAGTTGTCACTGAATGAGAGTTCCTGGGCCGCTACAGCACAAACTGTGATGGGCAGGCCGTGAGAGGGAGATGAGCACATTTAGCCTATCTTTGACTTAGGGTGTCTTATTCCTTTCACCCACCACTAGATTATCTGGGGGATGGACTCTTTCCAACCGCTTTCATCTACCATGTAAGAGAAAAAAATCAAAGTAGAAGCAGACAAGACCTCTAAAAATATAAATCAGAAATAAAAAAAAACATAGAAAATAAAATTTACAATTGTACTTTTGGTCACAGAAGCAAGACCATAAAAAAGATAAAATATTATCAGCACCATAGTACAAAATACATGTGTAAATGCTCTACTTACAATTGAAACCACAGTATAATCGAATCTGGTAGTAATAACGTCTATACCACAATGAGAGATAAAAAAGATAAGCTAAATGCGCATTTTCTCATTAAATAATTAAGTAGTAAAAGCTATTAAAATTCCCAGAAAAGTAAAAAAAGATCTTACAAATCACTCTCTACTGGTTTGAAAAAACATTTTGTAATTATTCCAGCAGGGGGAGTATACACACATGTGAAAATTAACAACCGCACAATAAGACAAATAAGAACAAACAAAAACAAACAAAATAAATACAAATAAAAAAGCAACAACTATTGCTTTTTTATAACATTAGACATGTGCCAATTAAAAAAAATATATATACATATA